AAGCCACAACGACAACTCATTACGAACGACAGTTTACAGGAAACCGACACACACCGACAGATTACTAGACGAGTCATCCTACAACCCTACATCACACAAAGCCACAACTATCAGAACTCTAACACGACGCGCACAACTAGTATGTGACTCGACAGACAGCTTATCCGACGAGAACAAATACCTTCACCGTGTTTTTACGAAGAACAACTACAACAACGACTTCATCCGACGAAACACTCACCGACCCACTACCACTACCGAAACAAACGACACCGCAACCCCTACGACTACAGCAACCATACCGTACATAAAAGGCATGTCTGAAAACATCTCGCGCATCTTACTACCCTTCAATATCCGCGTCGCCCACAAACCCATCACCACACTACGTCAGTTACTAACCAACGTTAAAGACAAAGACGAACCGAGGAACAGACAGGGAACGATTTATAAGATCAATTGTTCCGACTGCCAAGCCTCCTACATCGGTGAGACTGGCAGAAACCTCACAACAAGACTGACTGAACACAGACGGGCGACGAGGAAAGGTGATGTCAGCAATCACATTGCTGAACACCATCGACTTACCAACCACAACATTGACTGGGACTCTGCGCAATGCCTAACCTACAGCACTGACTATTTTCAACGACTGACTCTGGAAAGCTGGTTTACTAACTTAGAACAGACTCCCCTAAACAGATGTCAACAACTACCCGCCCCATACAAACGACTCATTCACGACATAAACATCACAAACGACCGAAAAAGAACAACCTAGCTTTACCGACAGACCGAAACAGACCAATCACGAACGACTTACGTCACTTGAGTCTTACAGCCAATAACATCACGGCAAAACCAACCGATCATTTCACACGAACTGGAATAAGAACATTCTACTGACAACAATCACTCACTTGACTCTGATGATGACTTCCGCACAGGTTGTTGCGCTTGTAATAAAGGACTTTAAGCCGATAGGCGTCCCAAGCTCGCGTCTCGAGAAAGCCGAAAGATCACTAAATTCTTAGTCACGCATGTACGTACTTATTTATGAAAGCGTCACGCGTTGTGTTACGCGATATTAGGCTACGCGAGGAACTGCTGACAACTTGAACTTGAACTCGTTATACGCTTATAAGGAACGAGCATAAGAAACGAAATATGGTCGATTTAAAACGCTAAATATTCTGAAATGTGAACATTTTACTCTTCTTGTGTGTCCGTTGCGGTTTCTGGTGATCTCTGCCGTTTCGGGCTTGCTTTTCCATCACTATTGTTCCTATAGTACTCCGCCTTATGAGACAAATTATATATTTTCCTCTAAGATTTTCGCCAAAAGTTCGATAACATATGAATGTAGTATTGAGCTCAGAGAAAAAAGGTGGGTAAATTTTTTCCGAGGTTTCATCGTGAAGAGAACGTAAAAGTCGAGAATGCGCCCTCACAGCAGGCCTCTGAAAATGCCGAAACTGATCATTTTCCGCTATAAAGTGTCACTCTAGTCTCCCCTCTGATTTATTATATTGCCTTAAAAAAAGTACATTGCACAAAACTCAAAAAAGTGTTTCTCATTCTGTAACAGATGAATGCAAACAATGAACACAGAGAAAAACAAGTCAGGACTATTCCACTGCAGTAAACAGTTTACAAATAGTTCTTCATACAATCGAGCCATTGTACAGATATCAGTTCAAGACATAACACACCGCTTAGCTCGTAGCTAAGGAGGGAATATATCATTGAAAACTTGGGAAGAGAAAACAGCAACCATGCAAAACGAAAAAAAAAATCGTCAGAAAAAAACTTGCCCACTATCAAACACCTGATTGATTAATGATAAATGAATGTATGAAACAGAAAAAGTGGCGGATCTAGTGGAGCCCCCCGCCCGAGATAAAATTTTGGGTACAAAAATAAAAGAAAAGCCGGCAAGTTTACACATACAAAAGACCCTGCCGCTCCCCTTCATACCCTTCCACTTAGCTCAAGGTCTGGATCCACCCATGAGAAATGATAATTATGACAAGGAATTATTGTAAAAAAGGAATAAAAAAACATAATGACATGACGGTCGATAACAGAAGGTGTCACAGGGCTTACTCTTGGCGCGTGACTAAGACCAAAATGAAGATTTGACACGTGAATCTAACAGAAAGGCAACGTACATGTGATTCGTAAGTTATGAGGCGGTGTGAGGCGTCATTTGCCTCCACAACCGTGTGTGTCTGCAGACATCTCTCGCGCCCATAGCACAGCCTAGTAACAGAATCAAAGAAAGGTGGAAAAAAAGAGTTCAACTTTTGAAGAAGTTTATTCAACAGTTTTCCATAAGAATTCGGATATCATCCAAAAGGTCAAAAGGCTTTGTACTGGGAAGGTACTGCTTCACGGGGAATCCATCATGATCGACCAAGAACTTCTCAAAGTTCCAAGAGATGTCGTCACTTCTCACAGGGGTCCATGAAACAGCTACATACCGACTGATTACTCCTCCAAGAAGGGGGCAGAGCGACTTCAAGAAAATAACGTATAGTTACCGCTTCTACGACAAATTTACAACCAATCGCATTAAGAGTTTCAACATGTTAATGTTTTCACGTTTTATCCGTTGCGTGTGTAATGATCAGCGGTATTACACGTTTGGACATGAACATGTAGTAGAACACAAGCATCGTTTTGTAAAGAAGTCGGATTATTAAATATAAAAACTGTTATCAAAATCCATCGTGTTTTCGTATAAAGAATATTACATGGTGTCAGGAGTAAAACACGAAACAGAAACTCAACCATCCATCTAGCGAAATTTTGGACAAAAAACAGCCGGCGTTTCAGAGCAATCAACATCGGCGATCCAACTTCATGTTACAGGATCAGTCGCTTCTCGACACGCCGGAAGAGGTAGAAAACACCGAAGAAACACAACAACCAGTGGAAATCGAAGAACACACAACCGACATGGCGACGCACTTAAGCCTTCCACCTCCAGAACCTCTCGAGTTAAGTGGGGAAAACATCTCGGCCCTGAACTGGAAGAAGTTCAAACAGAAGTACGTAAATTTCGAAATTGCGACCGGAATAAGCTCGAAGGATAGTGTAACCAGGGTAGCAGCACTTCTGACAGTTACCGGCAACGATGCTATCGATATTTTCATCACTCTCCGGTCTGGGATGAAGAAGACGATGATAAGAAAATCGATAAGGTACTGTCGAAATTTGAGCAATACTGTGAACCAAAGAAAAATGTCAGCTACGAAAGATACAAATTCTTCTCAAGGGCCCAACAAAGCGGCGAAAGTATCGACCAGTATGTGACGATACTAAAAAAGCTTTGTTAAACATGTCAATTTGGAACTTTGAAAAATTCTCTCATCATGGATCGAATTGTACTTGGTGTAAACAACACAAAAACGAGAGAGAGACTTCTCCGGGTGACAGACCTTACACTCGAAAAAGCAGTAGATGTAGTACGATCAACAGAGGCCACGGAAATTCAAATGAAAAAACTAGACTGTGGCTCATCAGTGCATGGAATTGGAAAAGAGAAAAACAAATTTGCAGACAAAAAGACTCCCTCAGATAATGATGAGAAAAGACCTCCAAGTAAGAAGTTCAATTGCTGGAACTGTGGAACTAAACATGGTCTAAGAGAGTGTCCTACATATGGCAAAACATGCAACTATTGTCAGAAACGAAATCACTTCCAGAGTGTATGCAGATCACAGAAAAAAGTCCATGGACTGGACGTAGATCAACAAGAAGAACAAAATCTTAATTCAACCCTATTTGTAGGAGCTGTCACTACAGACGTTCAGATCTACAATGAGGAACGCTATGTGAAACTGCCAGTAAAAGGGCATATCACAAAACTCAAGATAGACACTGGCTCTCAAGTTAACATCATGCCGTTTAAAGACCTAAAGAAGATAGTTGGAAGCAACCCACAGATAAATGCCTGCACACACAATCTAGTCAGTTACTCCGAAGACAAGCTAACGGTACTTGGCACTGCTAAACTACCAGTGAAATCTAAACCGATGTCCAACAGGAGCTAACGTTCCACATAGTAGAAAAAAATCAACCCGGACTATTGGAGTTCACATCATCTAGAGATCTGAGTCTAATCAAAGTGATTATGGCAACCAAGAGAGAAGAATAACAAACCAAACCAGAAGGAGGAAAGGAAGTTAAGAAGCTATTGGAAGAACTGAAAGAAGAAATGCTGCAAAAGTACAAGCAAGTATTCTCAGGTTTGGGACGTTTGGAAAAACCTTACCACATTGAAATAGACCCTACTGTTACACCTGTTGTGAACCCACCTAGAACTGTCCCAGCAGCTCTTCGCGACCGAGTGAAGAAAGAATTGGATGACATGGAAAAGCGAGGGGTTTTTCGTAAGGTAGAAGAAGCCACAGACTGGGTTAACTCCATGGCCATTGTTGAAAAGCCCAATGGTAGTCTGCGGATCTGTTTAGATCCAAAGTACCTCAGTAAAGCAATAAAACGGGAACATTTTCACGTATCCACCATAGAGGACATCACTACACGTATGGCAAATGCAAAATGGTTCACTAAGCTAGATGCAAACCGAGGATACTGGCAGATACCTCTTGACGAAGAAAGTCAACTTCCAACCACCTTCAAGACACCGTTTGGGCGGTACTGTTATCAAGCCACTCCATTCGGAATCACATCTGCTCAAGAAGTTTGCCAAAAGCGGATGAGTCAACACTTCAGCGACTTGGAAGGAGTTGAAACCGACATCGATGACATAGTAGGGGCCTTAAGCAACCACGACGGCGACGGCAACGAGGACATGGAAAAACAAGAGATCTAATTGGCAGAACAATAGCTCAGCACGTGCTTTTTGAAACTTTGTACATTTCTTAGCCGTCCTATGCAAAATAACAACGTGAAATCGCCAAAATTTGCGTCGTCTGCGAGCCGAAATCGCGACGGCAAATATTTTAATCTCCATTTGGAACTCAACGCTACTTTCATACGTCATACTGAGGTTGAGCTGTGGAGCCGTATGAGACAGTAAGCTCATGCAGCTATTTTTGAAATTTTAACTAAGAGTGGAAATTCATTTTTTAATCGAAGTCTTCCTTGGCGTTGCCGCCCTGACTGCTTAAGGTCCCTAATAGTGCACGCAGAAACAGAAGAAAAACAAGACCATCATCTACAAGCGGTCCTGGAACGATGTGAGAAGATTAACCCAACACTAAACAAAGAAAAGTGTATTTTCAAAGTCAAAGAAATCACCTACATTGGTCACAAACTCAAGCAAGAGGGAATGAAACCTGATGATGAAAAGGTGCGTGCCATAAACGACATGCCGGCACCAACTGATAAGAAAGGAGTAGAAAGACTCCTTGGAACTATCAACTATCTGGGCAAGTTCATTCCCAATCTGGCAACCGTCACTGAGCCTATCAGAATTCTGCTAAGAAAGGATATAGAATTTCAGTGGTCATATGAACAAGACAAAGCACTACAAGAAATCAAAAGTATCCGTAACCCCAAGCCAATGGCCTTGCTGAGAAAGAAGTTCAAATAGTGAAAAATCTACTAACCAAAGTAAGGCAAGATCGCCGGGATCCCTATTTAGGACTACTTGAATACATGAACACCCCAATAGATAACATTGGTTCACCAGCGCAACTACTCATGAGCAGACGAGAGCAGGACTATAAAGAGTACCGTAGAAATAGAAGAGGATTGATGAAATCACCAGAAAGCAGTCCATCGACAACTGACATCTCACCTAATACTGATTCTCCAACGGTGAGAGTTTATGAACATTCACTCACCAAGGAAACAGCCAACCAAGCAATCCCATTTGTTGAAAAACCCACTACAACATCTCACAACCAAGAGGAAATTGATTCATCTGAGGATGAGATCCCAGAGCCTCGCAAGACAGCAGTCTACGTTTCAAGGATTATGTTGGGTAACAATGAACATATCTTACGTCTTGATGTTTGATGAAACTGTGGGATCAGTGTGCTAAAAGTTTGTCTTAACGACTTTGTATATATTTCTAACAAGTTGAAGTTAGAGGAAATGTGGCACTTTTAATAAGTTCTTGTTTTTTATTTTTTTTTCACTGCCCAGCGTTACTCAATTTAGTGTTAGTGTGCATACACTCTGTTGTGTTCATTTTTTCTTCTTTTCATTTTCGTTGGGGGAAGTTGTAATGATCAGCGGTATTACACGTTTGGACATGCACATGTAGTAGAACACATGAGCATCGTTTTGTAAAGAAGTCGGATTTTTAGATATAAAAACTGTTATATAAATCCATCGTGTTTTCGTATAAAGAATATTACAGCGTGTGACTCGCCTCGGCAAGTGCAGTGCTTGTTGAAAGAAAACGAAGAAGAACGCGACAATTGAAAAGTCATATAAAATCAGACAGAAACCACTAAAAACCTATTGAGTTATGGTTGGCTGAGAAAGTGATCAAAGCCCCTGAAAATCCGCAAAAAGGTCCATAAATCTCTCTTTCCCATGAAAATATTTTCGAAAGAATATGTTTATCACGTAACCGCAGCCTATCATGGACGAGAGCCCTAAAGATCTTAATAGAGACCTCCTCGAAACCCTTTCAAGCGCAGACGTCACCTTTAAATAGGTGTAGATTGGATCTTCCCATGCGCCGTTGACTCGGATTTTCTGCAAAAGTGGAAAATTCGAAACAAATCTATTTCCAGGCCTGACCCATTTCAACCCGTTCATGATCTCGTTCGCCCCTGGCTCTTGATTTAAGAACTGATTACACGGAAAAGCCAAGATATTTAAGCCACACGGGTACTTTTTTTGGTTAAATTCCTTAATGAGTGCATTCAGGTGAGGATACTGTGCGGCGAATCCTCAGTAAGTAGTGACGTTGAGCACAAGGGTGACATTGCCACTGTACTTGCGCAGCGACGTTGCTGCGCCATTCAGGTACTTAGTGCGAAAGTCGAACAGCGACGGGTTTCTAATTCGAGTACAAGTACTCGAGGTTTCCCTGACTGCTTCAGCAGAGAAACCAGCAAAAAGATACAAAAGACAGGCCAGCAAGGAGGAGCGCGTCATCGTGAACAACAACGCACCGCCGACTCCCGTGCTGCTTATCTGAACCAGTGCAGAGCCTTGGTGTAATATAATATCGCACGCATTTCGGGAGGGAACAAGAGTCTTTTAATCAATATTCTATTAGGCCAGAGAGGGGACTCACATGACGAGGAGGAGAATTATGTATAGGCTACTTAAGGATGTGTTACTGTGAAATTAATCTCCTCGACAACCCTTTGTCGAGATCCTGTTTTTTTTTTTTTTTTGGTAAGTTTGAGCTCGGTTGTGTTCAATTTTTCTTTGCAAAGCTACTCAGAGAAAAGAAGTGCAAGAATAGGATATCATCTTCTCCACGGGAATCCCATGTTATAGTGCTTCTCAGGGAAATAGTCCAGAGGGTCCCCTATACTTTTTATGTGAAGCGTGATTGAAAGATTTTTTTTTTTAATTCGCGCGAATCGTGACTAAAGGAGGGGGGCATTGGGGTTTGCGGTTTTGACTCTATTTTAGATCGGTTTTTCGGCTTTTGTTCCAAAAAAACTTCGGTTTTTCGGTTTTGTGGTTCATTGCGTTTTGCGGATTTTCCGTCTTCAGCATTTGGTTTTCGGTTTTCGTCAAAAACTTTGACGGGTACTCGGTCTGGTATCCGGTTTGCTTTTTCGGTTTTTCACATTGAGATTTCATTTGCTCTTTGATCTGAGCAGCAGTTATACACCTCTGCTAATCTCGAATAGCCGCGAAACCTATGTAGCTCCACTTGTAACCGCAGTATCAGATTGACCAGGATTTTGAAAAACTAATCGGTGTAGACGAAGTCTCCCTCGCAGCCGTTTTTAGTCTCGTCACGCAACGGCTGCTCACATTCGAACAGCATTCCTTTTCCTTTGTTGTCTTTGCACCAATGAGATGACATGAAATCGTTTCTCATGTGACCAATCAGAGCACAAGAGATTGTAATCAATATGGTTTTTCCCGCGTTTTCAAATTCTGCTTTTATCGTAGTTTCTTGATGGAGGAAACGCCGAAGAAGGTTTTGCAAAGTTATAGTCGCTTTATTTGTTCCACTTCAGTTTAGAAGAAAGAAAAAAATTATGCTTTTGGAAAAAGTTCTTTTAATTTTTTGGCGATTATTAGTTCCCGGTCTGGATGTGAATGTGAGCTGCTATTGAGCGACCAGCGAGTTGTCAGTTTATAAAGCTTGCTACCGACGATGGATCAAGTTCAAAAAGGCCTCTGATCATCTTGAAGAGCTCAAAGATGAATTGAAGAGAATCTTCATGGATCGCGTACTTCCCAAAACGAAGCGCTTATTGAACGTTAAAAGTGACGGTGGAGAAGTCCAAGCTTTGTGCTGTGGGAAATCCTCGAAATGTTTACAACGCGATCTGATCAGTACCACTTATACTTCTAATGCTAATTCCAGTATTTCGATCTACCGCGATCAGCCAACAGGTACGTTATACTCCAGTAAGATTTCCTATTGGTTCTATTGGTGTGTCTCCTATTCGAAGTCATCTAGACGGACTTGTGCTAGAAGCTTTCCCTGGTCAACTGACAGTAAGGCCCCCGTGTGAAAACTTTGAACTCCAAGATGAAACAAACGATATGATTGGTTAGATTACTTTGGCACGCAGAGTTCTCGACATATATAACCCGAATGGTGATTGGTTGAAGTAACGGAAAGGAATGTTGTTCGAATATGAGCAGCCGTTTGTGGAGAGGAGCGTTGCGTTACGAGACTAAAAACGGCTGCGAGGAAGACTATACGTATAGTGTAGACGGTTTTGCATGTGGTTTTCGGTTTTGATCGAATTTTTTTGCGGTTTTGCGTTTTCTAATAGACCCCAATGGAGTTTGACTAATGGTCGTGGGTCGTGGGTACAAGTCGTGGGTCGTGGGTGTGGGTGTGGGTGTGGGTAAGAGTCGTGGGTGTGGTTAATACTTAATAATAAAAATAACCATTTAAAATATTAAATATAATAATACATAAATTTTATACAACCCTGTCATTCATTAATTTAACTGTTCTTTCTTCTAGTTATTTTATTTTGTTTATTCAATTTACCCTACTTTACGTCTATTTTTATCTGTTATCTCACTGTCAATGAAATTAGTTTCAGTTTCGCGACG